TAGCAGATCCTGAGAAAAAGGGTCACATACATAGGCTGAAACCCATGGGAAGAATAGGGCCTACCCTGTTCCCTTAAAGAGAGTAGGGGCTGCGTCGTATTCACTGGCGGCCACAGCTGTGTGCACGACTGCTGAGCACAAGATCATAGCGAGGTTCTAGTTTATTTGCAACGTGCACGCGAACACTCCCTCGGCCAGGAGCGCAAGCTAGCACGTGCTCCTGGCTTTGAGAAGTGCATTTCGAGCGCACGTGCTCGTTCTGCGGAAGAACGCTTCAAAGCAACCACCTCGAGCTCTCAAAAATGGCGTCCAGTGTCAGCGTCCAGCGCAGGGCTTTGCAGCCCTTCGCATAGCAGTAAGGCATTTTCACTCATGCATTTGACGCTTCACGTGAACGTCTAACTTCATTGTATGCTATCGCAACGGAAACAAGGCGTGAGGATCTGTTTCTTTGTCTGTTACACAAACCAATGAAGCAGGCGATAGGGCAGACGATGTCGCAGACGATGGTGCTCATCCGAGCTACCTAGGGGACGCTGAGGGGATCTACTAGTGATGACGTTCAGAGGAGGAAACGCGCAGGCTTTGTCTTCTAGGTGGTATTGAGTCAACTCTCCGTACTGCGTTCGTTTGTGCATTCTACGCTCGCAAATTCTGTAACTTGATGCTCGGTGTAAAATGGCTAGACCCATCAACATCGTGACTGTTTGTTTACGATCGCCATTTTGATCTCTGTATCAAGCACATTCTCTGGCGTCTACGGACTAGTGTCGGTCTTTAAGATGGGGGGAAAAAATATCCACTGAGAGGCTTTACTTAAACGAAAGGGCATCATGCTGGCGGAAAAAGATAAAAACGGAGCAGCACTGCGTGGCCTCGCAATCCCAGCCACCTGACGAGCTCCGGAAGCGCTGTTTGAAAGACGACCCTGCCAGAGGCGACGGTTGCGCACTCATCATGCGCAGGAAGCGCGGCACTTGAAAGGCTTTAGACCAAAACAAGTATTAATTAGATTTATGGACAGCGAAGAACCATCGTCGGACTAGTGCACCGCATTTATTTTTGTGTTGGCGTGCGTTGTGTGTGGGCGTGCGTTTCATAAAATCTGTTCTATAAGGTATGTGGTCAATCTTCATTATTTTACTTGTGCAATGGAATCGGCAGCAATTTATTTTTCGTTATCTGAAAGCTAAATCTGCCAGCATGTTAGAATTAGAGGCACGTTAGAATCGTGCAAACAGCTTCTTTAAATAAAGAGCTGGCAGAGTGCAACTACCAATACCAGCTTCATTAGACTTTCGAGTGTGAAATAACTTAAAGCAAACGGGCATGTGAAGAGTGACTTCACATTTTTTGCACTCCCAGCGGCTCACATCTTTTGCCCTGGACCTTGCAGACATGGCACCGCCTAGATGGGTTTGGTTTCGAGCGTTGGCTGGGATGTGGCGAGTGAAATGCGCCCATTCGCATCCCTCTAGACGCATCGACGAGGCAATCACTGATGGCTTTTCCCGTCGCTTGTAACCGGGCAACACCGTCTCTTCCACGATCTGCTCGGCGAGGTCGACTTTCCAGTCTGTGTAGCTAGACTTCGTGCCTGTGGTCTTTCCACAAAGTATACAGTAGGCTCGCAATAATTCAAACTCGAATATTTCAAACTTCTGGTTAATTCAAACAGATCTGAAAATTTTGGTTGTCCCACTATGTTTTTAATGTATTTATAAGCCACTTAATTCGAACGGCGTTTTCACTTAATTCACACTTTTTTGTTCTCGCGGCCCCGTTGAGTGCGCTTCTTTCCGAGCACCGGTGCACCGCAGAGAAGCAATACCTGCGGAGCTTGTTTTCGCGCGTGTTGCTTCTCCGCAGTGCACCGGTGCTTGGAAAGAAGCGCACTCAACGGGGCTCAAGCGGGCACACATTAGCGGAAAACGGCGTTCACATTATGTGCTTCAAGACTAGCAATGATGACCAAGACGACATCGAGGATGAGGAACAGCTCACTGGCATCATGCTTTCTGGCCTTGAAGCACATAATGTGAAACGCCGAGCTGGCGGAATATGCTAGTCTTGACGACGAAGTGTGTTTGTCGTAATGACTCATTAGAGGACATAAGGAAGTAATGCCAGCACAGTGCAGCAGTGAGAGTGAAGATGACGACGAAGAAAGGGATGACCCACTACCAACTGTCACAGCCGCAGAGGCCTTTGAGCACATCGCTCAGCTCCGGAAGTTTCTGTCTGCAAAGGAAGAGTTCCGTAAAGAGCCACTTGCGTTGGCTGGTATTGAAAATTTCGTTTCGAGATCTCGTGTACTGACTAAACAGTCCACAATCGACAACTTTTTTGCCGGATGAATAAACTTAACGTCACAGTTCTTTCCCCAATGTGTTACGCCTGTACTTGCTTATAATTATTCTATGTAGAGGAAACTGGCAAAAATCTGTTTTGTATGTGTGTAGCTATCCATGTAAAAAATCATAATGTTGTCTAATATCATATTTAGATGAATTTCTGATAATTCAAACTTCTGGTAATTCAAACTAAAATCTGATTTCCTGAATGAATTAATGAGAGTCTACTGTATAACTGTTGTAGACAGCTATATCCATGACGTAGAAGAAGATCTTTTTGTACCCTTTGGCATATCTCCGCATAATGGGAAACAAAGGCAGCTGCTGATCCTCACGGTCGACGCCTCCCATACCTCTGTTGTAATCAAGCACAACCTGAGGTTTGAGGATTGGCTGGTTGTCATTTCTTTGTTTTCCTGCGTCTGTCAGGTTTGTTGCGTCATGGGAGGTTGAAAGTAAGGTTACGGGCCTGTTGTCCTGCCATGTCACAGCCATCAGTCCACGGGAAAAGAGACTGCGACAGTCACCCTTTTGAAGCTTGATTTTTTTCAGCTCCTGCAGCATGTTTTTTCGATGCACCCGAACTGTCCCGACAGCGTTAGACCCCGCTTCCTTGATGTGAAGAAAGAGTAGCGGGGACGATTACCAGTTGTCTGTATAGATGGTGTGACCATTTCCAGGACGATCTCCCACAAGGTCGATTACAACTGCCTCGCTGCATAACATTCCAGCTGTTGCCGGGGTCCTCTCACTTTTGCCTGTGTAAATAGAAAAGTTCAGGCAGTATCTGCTTGACGACTCGCACAGCTTGTAAAATTTGATTCCAAAGCGCGTGCGCTTCGACAGATTGAATTGAATGTCGGACAGACGACCACGAAACTTCATGAGGCTCTTGTCTACCGCCAGTCCCTCTCCTGGAGAATACAACTCGCCAAACACCTTCAAAACTTAGTCCAGGACTGGACGCAGCATTCGAAGTTGGTCGTCATCAACTGGCAGGCTGTTGTCGCACAGGTGAAGGTATCGTGAGAGCGCCCAAAACCGCTGCCTGGGCATCACGGACGCGAAGAAGGGCGTGCTAATGACGCTTCTCTGAGACCAGTAGGCTTGAATGCTGCTTTTTTTCACTTGGCTCATAAGAATGCAAAGGGCAAAGTACGCTTTCATCTCACCTGGAGTTGTGGGAAACCACAAAGGGTCCGGAGAGGAGGCCTGCTTCTCAAGTGCGTAAGCATCGTGCATCGTGACGTGCAAGCATCTGCCAGAAGTCTTCGCCTATCAAAGCATTGAACATTGAGAGGGCTGTAGGACTGTTTCCTACAGCTATCTGAATAGTTCTCTTTACACCTGGTGCTACGGCGAAAGGGATCTTCGCGACTTTGTCGGCGCTGTCGTCGTCCTCCCATTGCCAGGCGTCAAGCCTTGGAGCTTTCGATGGTGGTGGCGCGACTGACACCAAAGATTCAAGTGGTTCTTCTGAGTCCGAAGCCTCAGCATCGTTGTCACTGTCCGAATCACTGCTTTCGATGTCCATGGTGAATTTCAGGTCGTCACCAGTCGTCATCATCACTTTTAAACACCAGATTAAGAATTTCCTCGCTGGTGAGACACCTCCTCTTCCGCGACGCCATCTTTTCATACAAAAAGAACCGCAAACTTCTTTTTCACTTCTAAATATTCATAAAATAATCACGTACGTGGCACCATCTGGTGTCAAAAGTACTAATCAAAACACCTACAGCCTGTAAAGTGTCGCCATCTATCAATATATTTTGGAAACATTATTTTGCGGAGGACGGCGATTCGCCGTCTTATTGCACTTTGGCCCTTTCTCCCGCGGACGGCGGAACGCCGTCTTCGGAAGCGAATGGGTTAAAGGTAAGTCCAGATATAATGAACTACTGATAAAACGACCACTTTCCGCGGAACTATTGCATTCTTATAAGTGGGTTTGACTGTAATCTATTAAATAACATGCCCTCTATGAACTATGCAAAATCGCTCCCTTTAAAAAAGAATGTAAAGCACTGCTGGTAGGCAGCGATATAAAATTTATAATCACAATAAAGCGTTGTATTATACTTTATACCTTCAAAGTTCATCCTTGTTTTATTTTATGTGCACGACTCGCCTTGTTATATTTTGTTGGGTATATACTGTTTAGTTTCCATAAAGTGAGCGATAATGATGTTTGTTATTTGTGTTCCTTAGATGACTTGTTTTTTCTTTTATGCTGATTATAATCTGTATTCTCGTTTTTTGCATTCAGTACGCATTTTTATCCTTATATACATGGCTTTCATTGTCGCATTTCTATTATGTATCTGCGCTTCAGTTCTGTAAAAGCTTTTATCATACTGTATTACTTTGTTAGATGGAATGCACTTCCATGCTATTTTTTATGTGTGGACTGTAAGGGACCGGAGCCACGTCAGGCTTCTTTTTTTTGCATCTTGCACTGGCACTTCTTTCGGGCTCTGCCCGAAGGAAAACAAATAAAGAAAGAAAGAAAGAAAGAAAGAAAGGACCGGGCAATCACACTGGCGGCAGACGCGTTCTAGGCATATGGGCAGAACCGAACCGTCCCACTTTCGTCTTCGCACCACAGAAAGCGCCGGAGGATCGAAATTCCCGCGCGATACTCACTGCGATTGAACTGCGGCCGCGGGGGCGACGCCTTGGACCGTGCGGCCTCTTGTGCCCTCGCCGGCTCTTGGGGCTTTGGCGGCGCGGCGGCCGCCTCTTCCGTTTCGATGCCCTTCGCCACGTCCTGCGCGGCTTCCACTGGCGGAGGGGACAGCGCATCGAGCACGTTCACCTCCTCTTCCCCGGAGGTGTCGAAGAGGGATCCGGCAACCAATGCCACGTCGAGCTGCTCGCGCACCTGGGTCGTACACAAAACGCGACGTGTTACATTTCGTAGCTTCGTCACAACGAACGCTGCGGCCTCGCCGTATCACGAGGCACCGCCACAAGAGGGTCGGCGATTTGAAAGGAACCGGCACCGTGATCGGCGGCAGAAGCTGCGCCTTTAGCAGATGGGCTTTGGCAGTGTGCGCGTCGAAGTGTTATCAAGGGCGGAAAAAAAGGTTGTGCTGTAGGCGAAACGTCTACTGCGTCTCTAACCCGTCCCCGGCTACGATTGCTTTCTTGTCAAATGAAACCATGCTCTTACTGCCCACGAGACATCCCTGAATGTCGGTCGATCCGAACGGTACTACTAGAAGATGCAGGGCAGTTCTAACTAAGTTTCTACAAATGCGCGGATTATTTTTAGTTTCGTCGAGCATGTTTCCACCTGCATCGCTCATGCATGGCACGAAAGCGACAACTGCCGATGCGGTCTTGCAGTGTTGCCTTCTTGCACCTTGAAAAGCGAGGATACTTTTGAGCGACTCTGGTCTCACGCTCTGAAAACATTGCAGCTTTTTTTCTCTTTCAAAAATTCCACGATGCTAACGTCCTGCACAGAACGGTACCATCTGCATTACCCAGCGCTTTTGCAACCCCTGGGACCCCGACGCATCCTCCGCGAACAAGAACCCCAAAAAATCTATTCTCTCCTACTTATTCTAAACCCGGGTGTAGTATTTTGATTTGCACGAGATGGCGCTACTTGACATCTCCTTTTTAAAGTAGCCATCTCGTGCATCCATATAAAAAATAAAAAGGACAGCACGCGACGGCATGAGCCGCGCGTGATCTGCGGCCTCATCGGCCAGTGTTCGCCCCGCTCCTGAATCCGTTGGTTGTCCTTTCTTCTCGCTCCGGCGACCGTCCAGGTCCGCTCGGGGCATGTAGTTTCCCGGCTACGTCGAACGTGAGTCACCGGCGCTTGCGTCCAATGTAGCCAGGCTTTAGAGCACCGCCGCGTCGGCGCAGAATATAACACCGGGAAAGAGGAAAAATGACAGAAACTAGACCGTGCTGAAAAAAAAAAACAACAAAAAAACAGGGAGCACAAACAGCGTGCAGCAGAAGCCAAACAAGGCGTGTGGTTTGCACTGGGTTTTTCATTTTTTTCTATTTTACATATATTTTATAGGTCACTTATTTTTATTATTTTATATTTTGATATATTTCATTAACTTCATTTCTCATTCAGTTTACTTATTATTTTCATCTCAAAACCTGCCACTCTTGCCGGCATGCTTGCATTCAAAATAAAAGCATTTACTTCTCCAGACCAGATGCGCTACGGCCGGCAACACATCCAAGGTTTCCGGGGGAGCTCCTCCCACCTCTTTCCACCTCAGCAGAGCGAACTCTGGAGAGTAGTTCGCCGCTTCAGCGTTTTCTCTGCTGATGTAGAGAGAGGAGCTTCCCCCGAACTTTTGACTTTTACCAACTACAGTCACCAACCGATTTTTCGGACGCCGATAACTAGGACTTGTTCGATATTTTGGACACAATTGTCGCGAGCGATCAGCAAGGAACACCACAGAGAAGCCACCATGATAGATTCCATGTTTGTTTGCTCGTCTGCCAAACTGACTAGCTTGGTTTGGCAGACAAACTTGCGCTCCGCATAGAACGTGGCCAAACACAAGCAGAGGCATAACCTGAAGCAAGGCACTACCGGCGGCTCTTTTTTAAGCCCGCTTAGATGTAATAAAGGCAAGTTTTTGAATCTGCTGATTTTCCTGACTACTCTACTATTCGGATGTTTTTTCTGGTCCCTGCAAAGTTCGAAAAATCGGGCGGCGATTGCATAGTCACTTAGTGGCTTCCGACCCAGGTTCAAGCTCTGCCAGGGCTAATGTTTTATACATAACCCTAACGCCCAACGCTCCCTGCGAGTTACTCATTGTTGACGATTGTTCGCGACGACTCTTGTAGAAAACAACTCGTAAAACACATTCCGTGTTGTACAGGTAGCATGGCCAAAAAGCCCCCGCTTTACAAATGTGCCGGCGTAGAGCCAAGGCTGGAGCATGAACCGCGAGCAGATTTGCGGGTTGCGAGAACCACCGACAGCCCGAGAAATGTAGATTCAAAACTTTGCCACTACAAATCGGTCCTTCCTTTGAACCCTTATGGACAACTATAGTCCAGGTTCTCTCGGAAGAGTGTCGGGCACATCGTGAAAGCAGACTATCTGCTGAAACGCGTGGCACTCTGCGAACCACCAACGACCGTTCTGCACCTCCCGACGTGCTCACCTGGAGCACCAACTCCTTGCCGAGGATCCTGGCAGACAGCAGGCCTGGGTCAACATTGGAGCCAGAGTCCAGGCTGCACTGGAACGCCTGTCCCGGCTGCTCCGTCAGCTCCTGGGGAATCTGTTTCACCTGCACGCGGAGCATCCCACAACAGATCGGTCTACCAAATATGTCTATTTCATGAGCTTTCTGGCCATGGATATGTTCTAAAACAGATACAGTAACGGAAAAACAAAACAAAAAACACCAGTCCTTGGAACATTTCTTGCACTGCTTGCAAAGTAAAATTGTCTGATAGACATTTAACCCTGGAGAGTGGGGACAAGGACAAACACAACACAGATGTCCAAAAAATTTAACTGACTTCATTGTGTCTGATGTTTCAAAACAAGGCTGCATGTTTGTAAATGTGTCGTCGTTTTGTGTGATGGCATGCCAACACTTTGCACCGTGACTTTCCACTTGAAGTTTCTAGATTCAATAGTGTCGTGGGTGCCAAAACAAAAGTTAATGCATGTTCCGCAGGTCATCAACGACGAAGATTAGTTCCAAGTGGTTAATGCATGTTCCGCAGGTCATCAATGACGAAGATTAGTTCCAAGTGAAATATTTATCGAAAGTACAAAAACCATAGCATGTCCCATTTAACACAGTGCTCACCATATTCATCCAGAACATGCGAACTGGGGGAGGGGGGGGGGGGGTATTTGTGGCGGCCTATATCTTTGGGCGCCACAGACCAGGGCTGCCAACTTAAAGGAAATTTCCTAGATCAAGGTAATATTCTGGTCTATGTGGTAATAAGGGAACTCTTGCTAGCTTGAGGGAAATTCTGGGCACCGTATGGATCTGAAAGTTTATAGGTCAATCATGATTTTATTTTGAGAAAACATAAAATTTTAGTGGCTTTGGCTAGATTCAGGTTATTCCCTCCAGCCGTTTGCCGGCTTGTTCCACACCCACCTGGAAACACTGAGGAGCACTCGAACAACATTTTTTCGGCAAAATCAATTTTCATCCGTTTTCATTACCACCATGAAAGCTATGGGGCAAGGGATCAGCCAAGTGGAACTTTCTAAGAGCACTGCTGTGCCTTCTCGAAAAAGAAATACTGCTATGTCTGGAGATACAGACTTACCACGAATAGGGATGCCGCGAACCACCCCAGGTTCGATTTTGAAAGATTTCGATATTTTCGAACCGAACTGATGTTCGAATTCGAAAGGTTTCGATATTTTCGACCGTACAGAAATTCGAATTCGAAAAATTCGCAACTTTAAAAAATCGTGGAGTTTCGAATTCGAAAAGTTCGAAGCTTTTACGGTTTATAGAAGTTCGGGTTCGATTATTTCGAATATTTTTTTACTTGAGGTTCGAGAAATTAGAAGATTTCGAACTTTCCTAACTTGAAATTCGAGAGATTCGAATGTTTCGAATTTCTTTGGATCTGAAATTCGAAAAATTCGAACGTTTCGAATTTTTATAGACATGAAGTTCGATAAATTTGAAGATTTCGAATTTATTGCTACATAAGGTTCGAAGGTTTCGATTCTTTTTTAGCGCTAAATTCGAAAAAGAAACTTAGGTTTCGAATTTCTTTAAAGTCCAAGTGCGCAAAGTTCGAAGTCCGGTTTTCATGTTCCGCCACAGTTTCAGTTCCAAATAACGTTTTCACGCCTCACTAGTTTTCACTAAATCAGGTTTAGAAATGTTCGGGTGTGATATTCAGATTGCGCGAAGTTGGTCAGGCATTTAAATGAGACGACGAGTGTCCCGGATGTGCTGGATTATTTGCCAGTGCAGAGTGACTTGTGCAGATCAGTAATTGGGCCGCCAGCTCGGGGAGGGGGGGGGTTCTTTAACGTGCATCACGCAGTAGTGATCACGCGAACACACTGTTTAACGATACTCGTCCAGTTCGAAACGGCCAGGGGCAGGCAGGTGGTTGAGGGTTACTTGAGGCTCAGAAAAACCTTGAAGCGATCTGGCAAACTGCCTCCCCACCCCCTTGCACGCTGGTAGTAATCCGCTGGAACGCCGCCCGAGTGACGCTGGCATATGATAAGTTTAGTTTGTACATGATCCAAAATCCTGAGACTGGGAATAAAATTTGAAAGAAAAAGTGTAAGAAGACAGAAAAAAGGGGACAGGACAATGTCTCAAACTCAACTCAGCTGAAAACTCAGCTCAAAAATAATGTCTCAAACTCAACTCAACTGAGTTTGAGACTTTGTCCTGTCCCCTTTTTTCTTTCTTCTTACACTATTTCATGCGAATTTCATTCCCAGGCTCGGGATTTTGCATCATGATCAACATACACCAGCTCGCCTGCACCTTGACAATTTTTTAGTTTGTAATTGTTTTGGAGTTTTTTTTTCCCGGAGACTGAAGAAACGCCGAGCAAAAAGTACGGAAGTCGACACAACTTGAGGTCGAGGAGCGTTCTACCATACCAGCAGCGTCGGAAGAGGAAGAACGGGGGGGAAGGGGGGGGGGGGGGGCTCCAGCCTCTCGCCCCCCTCCCAGATATTTCGGACTGTTAAAGGAAACAATACAGGGAAAGAGAGCATGGTCGAGTTCATTTTAATCTGAAATTATTTATGCATATGTATAGCTACTGTCGCTCTTCACTGCATAAAAGATTGCGTAGTTGGTCATTGTTAGAAACTCGTTGTCAGAAGGCACTACTCGTCACATGCTTAGCGGTTCGGAAGTTCAGAGCTGTGTCTTTTCGACCTAAATAACTGTGCCATTGGTAAAAAAAATAAGAAATAAATAAACATAACAATAAATGCAAAAAATAAAAAAGCTGGAGAAAAAAAAACTATCAAGAATCCGCCGGAAGTGTGGTATTCTTGCATATTCAGAGGCCCAGAACTACGAAACAAATTTCATCTACCGAAATGTCTACAGGCTAAAAGAAACACGTCCCAAAAAAGTAAAACGCAAAAAAAAAAAAAAAAAAATTTTTTTTTTTTTTTTTTTTTTTAATGACGTGCCGAATTTGAACAATATTAGAAATCTTTTCCCCTGAGTTAATTTATTTCTCAACGTGAAAAGAACAATATATACATTAATTTGTATTCTGGAGATAGTAATGATAAGTACTGTCTGTGGTGTTAATTTAAATGCGATACCTCAAACAATTTCGACGAAAAATATTGCCAAGTTTAGGGCATAATTGCCCATAGGTACATGTTTGGATGTTTCTTCAAAACTCGTCTTGAACAACAATAATCATATCTTAAGACGACACTTACCTAGGTTATACATTGATCATTCTTAAAAAGTGTAACATCTCTACCATAAATATATTCGGCTACAGTGCGCTTCAAATATGGCACAAACGAAAATTGTCAAAAACCCGTCGTCCTTCCCCGCTCCTTCGGGAATCTATTCCTTTAAATCCAAGCATGCCAGATGATTGAAATAAACGGCATTGTCTTTCGCCAAGAATGCAACACCAGATGTAAAAATGCGAGAAAAAAAATTACGAATGTACCTCACTGCTTAAATCCAAATGAAACCGCCCGCCCGTCTTTCGAAGTTCGACGGACTTCGAACTTTTACCCTAAAAATTCGAAGTTCGTCGAACTTTCTACTTTTCAGGAATCGGAAGTTCGACAATTTTCGAATTCTTTAGATTAATAAGTTCGAAAATTATCGAATTTCTTAGCGCAGGAAGTTCGAAAGTTCGAAAAGCTTCAAACTTTTTAGTGCAATAAATTTGAAAGTTCGAAAATCATCGAATTGTTTAGTCTATCAAGTTCGAAAATTCGATGAGCATCGAATTTTGCAGCGTAATAAGTTCGAAATTTCGAAAAGCGTCGAACTTCTTAGTTTAACAAGTTCGAAAATTCGACGGTAGTCGAATTTGACGATATGAAAAGTTCGAAAATTCGGAAACTTTCGAACCTCTCGAACCGCTTGATTCGATCATCGAAACTTCGATTCGGAAAAAGTTCGCGGCATCCCTAACCACGAATAATAATATTTTGTGAAGTGATGTGCACGAAATGGTATAGTTATTCTGTCATGTTCCCTGTGTTTGAGTTTGAGAACACTCGCTTGTGTTACGCCTTTTGTTTTGGACTGACCATTAGAAAAAAGTGCTATTGATGAAGCTATTAAGCAGTACCTTGTTCCGATGAAATGCATAACATCTAAACTGAAGATAGGGTTTCATTCGTCAGTTTCAATCTCCGAATTCCCCTCGTCAGATTTTCTTTGGCAGAAATAGGGAATTTCGGGCACTCGCTAGGGAAATTCTGACTTCCCGTGTTGCCGGCCCTGCCGCAGACCCTGGTGACGCCACTACCGACGGCGCCTTCTCATGGAAGCGCCATCCTGGCAGCAGCTAAAGAACTGTTCTCGTTACGTAGCACTGTGTGCAAGTTCCAGCAGGGGAGGCTCATGGCCGAGGTGGCTGCTGGACCGAGGACAAATTTTGCTTACAAGGCGGTCTTGGTTCTTCGCCTCATTTAGTACAAACAGCAAATGCTTACCGTTTCAATCATCCCGTCGCTGACTGTTTCCAGCCACCTATGCAGCTTCCTGTGAGGTATAGATTGCCCCAACCGGCAATATACCTGCTTTGTCTATGGCCAAGTGAGTGGCCTGCCCTCCTCGGGCTGTCCCATTGAGCGCTACGTCCTAAACAGAATTCCCTGTTTTCGAGGCTTGTTTCTCGTGAATTGCAGAGGGTGTTTTCCGGAGTTCATTCTTAGTAGAAAATTCGGGGCTTATTGGAATTTACAATCAGTAGATCGCCAATTCTCTGAAATTCAGAGTTCACGTTTACAGCATTTCCCATTTTAAGTGTTTCAAAACAAAATAAAGTGTGGACACAAACATGCCCCAAATTCATCAGAACTTGCCACTATCGAATGATATTTCTGCAGTTACATTTGGCATTAGTGCCATTGCCATTGGCAATACTAACTATCCCGCAACAAGTACGGCAAAGAAGTGTCGCCTCAATAACTGTCGATACCTTAAAGCAGTGGTTCTCAACCGTCGATGTTTCGCGGACCCCCTAGGAATCGGCGGAGATGATGGAGGACCCCGTTCGGGGTCAAGGGACGGGAAAGGTGTAGGTTACATAAAATAATGATTTAATAAATGGATAT